CAACTTGCCCCTTGCCAGATTCACACTCTCCTAGCCTTGTGGGCATTTTATTGGTTCTAATACCAATCCTTGTGGTACACTGCTTCTTACTCTTCCCCATTCTAACAACTCATGCCTGGCGGTGATGGAAAGAAAATGGGAAGAAGCCTAACTGCATTTGATGGGAAACAATTTATCATCCTGTAATTCAGACCAACACTCTCCAACAGTTTAGGAGTTTCTGGTATAGTGCTGGAAAATATTTCAAGAAAGAGACTCCCCTGTAGAAGACTAATGGATCATGAATAGTGGACCAAGTGACTTGAGCCTATGTTGTCATTGTCCTGTTACCCAATAAAAGCTTTTTGTACCTGACAGAAATTTGACACTTGCATAGAAAGTACAATATGACATGTAGGGAATCATATTCATGGATAGCTTGTAATGCACTCAAAACAATGATTGGGACAGACATGGTTGCAAGGCAAATGACAGTAATGAACACTGAGCATAACTCAGCTGCAAAAATGCTGGCCAACTTAATTAGCATTAGTACCTCACATTTTCATTTCCTACATTACATTATATTACTTGACTAGAATATTGTATTTTATGTAGAAGAGAGGGAGACTACTTCCCGGTAAAGGTAGGTCTTAGACAGGGATGTGTAATGTCACCATGGTTGTTTAACATATTTATAGATGGAGTTGTAAAAGAAGTAAATGCTAGGGTGTTCGGGAGAGGGGTGGGATTAAATTATGGGGAATTAAATACAAAATGGGAAGTGACACAGTTACTTTTTGCTGAGGATACTGTGCTTATGGGAGATTCTATAAAAAAAATGCAAAGGTTAGTGGACAAATTTGGGAGCGTGTGTGTAAAGGAAGAAAGTTGAAAGTGAACATAGAAAAGAGTAAGGTGATGAGGGTATCAAATGATTTAGATAAAGAAAAATTGGATATCAAATTAGGGAGGAGGAGTATGGAAGAAGTGAATGTTTTCAGATATTTGGGAGATGACGTGTCATCAGATGGATTTATGAAGGATGACGTTAATCATAGAATTGACGAAGGAAAAAAGGTGAGTGGTGCATTGAGGTATATGTGGAGACAAAAAAATGTTATCTATGGAGACAAAGAAGGGAATGTATGAAAGTATTGTAGTACGAACACTCTTAAATGGGTGTGAAGCTTGGTTTGTAAATGCAGCAGCAAGGAGGCAGTGGAGATGTTCTGTCTAAGGGCAATGTGTGGTGTAAATATTATGCAGAAAATTTGGAGTGTGGAATTTAGGAGAAGGTGCGGAGTTAATAAAAGTATTAGTCAAAGGGCTGAAGAGGGGTTGTTGAGGTGGTTTGGTCATTTAGAGAGAATGGATCAAAGTAGAATGACATGGAGAGCGTATAAATCTGAAGGGGAAGGAAGGCGGGGTAGGGGTCGTCCTCAAAAAGGTTGGAGGGAGGGGGTAAAGGAGGTGTTGTGGGCGAGGGGTTTGGACTTCCAGCAAGCGTACGTGAGCATGTTAGATAGGAATGAATGGAGACAAATGATATTTGGGACATGACGATTTGTTGAAGTGTGAGCAGGGTAACATTTAGTGAAGGGATTCAGGGAAACTGGTTATTTTATATAACTGGACTTGAGTCCTGGAAATGGGAAGTACAATGCCTGCACTCTAAAGGAGGGGTTTGAGATATTGGCAGTTTGGAGGGATATACAGTGGTCCCTCAATAATCGTCCGGCTCAATTGTCGTCCTTTTCGGAAATCGTCGCATTATACTCGTCCAAACATTGGCTCGAAAATGGTCAGTTTACTCGCTAATCGTCCTTCGTCCGGGACGCGTACTCACGCTCTGAGCCGCCTCGGCCTCCCTTCCCAGTCAGTGTGCCATTGTTTACCAGTGAGCGACGGTCCCCTCACTTGTTCATACGAAATATTTCATAATATTTCATTCATTTTAGTGCTTGCAAGTGCTAAATATGCTACCATGGCTCCAAAGAAAGCTCCTAGTGCCAAGCCTTTGGTAAAGAAAGTGAGAAATATGATTGAATTTAAGAAAAACATCATTGAACAATATGAAAGTGGCGTACGTGTGGCCAAACTGGCCAGCTGAGGAGCTGCAAGAGCTTCAGCAGGAACAGGAACAGATCGCAGCTCAGAATCTTGCTGCAGAGGAGGAGGAAGAGAGATGGAAGAAGGTGCCTTCTTCAGAAATTAAGGAGAATTTTGAAATGTGGGGTAGGATGAAAAGATTTATGGAGAAACATCACCCTGAGAAGGATGTTGCAAGCCATATCGGCAACTTGTACAGTGACAGAGTCTTGGCCCATTTTAGGGAAGTTTTAAAGAGATGCCAGAAACAGAGCTCTCTGGACATTTTTTTTGTGAGACAGGTCTCCAGTGACTCTCAAGCTGGTCCTAGTGGCATTAAGAAACAGAGAAGAGAAGTAACCCCAGAAAAGCACTTGGTACCTGAGGTGTTGATGGAAGGGGATTCCCCTTCCAAAGAGTAACTAATGCAATCTGTCTCCTCCTCCAGTCTTCCATACACTAAGAAGAATTGCCAATAAAGGTAAGTGTTATGCTGTTAATGTTTCATTCATCATGTCCCATTGTATTGTTTATATACTACATCTATATTTCATGTAAAAAAATTTTGCTTTAATACTTCTGGGTGTCAGGAACGGATTAATTGGATTTACATTATTTCTTATGGGGAAAATTGATTCGAAAATCGTCTTTTTCGATAATCGTTGCACTTCCAGGAACGGATTAACGACGATAAATGAGGGACCACTGTATTGTGTATTTTTATACGTATGTAATTCTAAACTTGTATTCTGGGCACCTCTGCAAAAACAGTGATTATGTTTGAGTGAGGTGAAAGTGTTGAATGATGATGAAAGTATTTTCTTTTTGGGGATTTTCTTTCTTTTTGGGTCACCCTGCCTCGGTGGGAGACGGCCGACTTGTTGAAAAAAAAAATATATATATATAAAATCTCAATTAACATAACTACCTCATATTATAATGGAGAACAGGATGCCAAAGAGGGTGCATAAATCTGGGTATGGAACAAAGGAGGGGTAGGGTGGTCACAGGAAGGGATGTAGGGAGGGGGTAAATTAAGGTTCTGAGTACTAAAGGCTTGAGCAGCTAGAAGGCTTCTATGAGCATGTTAGATCAGAGTGAAGACACTCTTTGTAAGTCTAATTGTAATGCTAAAAAACAGAACAAAAAAAAAAATCCTCCTTAAACTTGAACTGGTATAGTAAATATTATGCTTTACAGGGAGGGTATTTACCAAATCATCCTGCAATCTTTGATAAAGGAAAGTATTATTGCAGAATTATGGTGTTTAATAGAGACTGCTGTGGTGGAGGACTAGTATTATTATTACAATCATGGGAGAGTCCTAGATCCATAGGGGACATACAGGGAATGAGAGGCACTCAGGTTTGATCCAAGGAAGGAGAGCACAGGTCCAATTCCTTGGATGAAAAGCCTCTCACTGGCATCAAGGAGGCTCTACTGGAGGGGGAGAGGAGTATGAATGCTTTTTGGTTGAGGGTATTGTGAATGGCTGGGGTATCCTGTCACTAGCTGCCTTTCCCATGTTATGTTTCATAAGAAACATTCTGGCACCTGTATATATACATCAGAGGAATATACATCCACAGACAATTTCTCACATATAGAAATATGTATTATTTCCTGCCTAGCTTAAAATTATGGAGCCAACCTTGCTAGAATTTAAAGTGATCTTTAAGATCAATTTTCTCATAAAACATTTTCTCATATACATCACCAATAAACACAAGCCTTCAATCCTCTCTCTCTCTCTCTCTCTCTCTTTCTCTAGACTACTCATAAAAAACTTTGCCCAATTCTTCAAAGTTAGATCTTGTCTGATACAGTGTCTAAACAGAACTTTAAGAACTTTTTTAACATCCTTCTGGGCCACTATATCATACAAAGTTTTACACCAGTGACTCACAAAATTGTAATACATGATTATAATTTTCGGAATGGGCAAGATGCGAGCCTATGGCAAGTCAGTTGTGAAGCTAGCCCGTGCTACAACCACTGTACCATGCTGGCTTAATAGTATAGTATAGTATAGTGGTTGGAGCACTAGACTGCTAGTTTAGGACAAGCTAACCATGGGTCTGAATCCTGCCTTTTAAATGGCTATTTTTTAAACAAAAATTATATTCTCTTGTGATGTATAAGAAGCCTCTACTCTCTATATTTATATGCAACAATACATTGATTTTCTGTTCAATATTAAGAAAAAACTTGTTCCTTTTATTTACATGACATTGCACTATTTTGTCCAGAAGCCATTCTAAGAGCTTAATAAGGTTTATATTAATTAAAAATTACATTAAAAGCCCAATGATATCCATACGGCCAACTTTGGTTCAACCCAACTTAAGTCCATCCAGTTGCAAAAATAACTCCAGTCATTTGCAATTTATGTTTGGATGAATCTGAAGATGTACACTGAAAGGCAAATGCCTTTTCCTGCAGTTTGGGGATGTTTAGAGTTTGGATTTTTGTAGTTATACTGTATAGTATCAGACTTTTACCCAACTTGTGCCCTAATATTAAAATGTAATAAAAAAAGTATATACGTAAGAATCTACCAAGAATATCAAACCACCACAAAAAAAGCATTGCAGAGATTAATCATGCATGCTGGTTAAATTATAAGTACGTAAGTACAATAAGTAAACAAATAAAACAAGCAGAGGCAATGTAATTACATACAAGCTGATCAAAGTGGGTTGCATAGGAAATTAATGAATCTTTTATGTACAATATTTAAATAATCATGCACAGGGAACACTATTTACCATCACCAAACAAAATTATATAAATATATACACTACATATTAACATTTATTTACATTAATAAAAGTGAAATGCATGATAGAAAAATGGAAACTGAATTATTAAAAAATAATGTAAAATAAACTAACATATCAGTACATGTTCTATAACCTTCCTTAGCTTACCTCGTCATTCGAAGCCAAAAGTCGACGAATGTGATTAATGAATGATGGAAGCAATACTCGCCGACAGTCTGGGATTTTAAAGAGCTCACTGTGAACGATTTCATTCACAGTCATCAACTTCTGCTTCGGAATACGCTTTTGGTCTAGATTGTCAATCATCTTCACCAAGATGTGGCTGTTAAATAAAATCATTTTCTATGAACATTTTTTCTTCTTCATCTACTGACTTATAAACTGGACAATGATTTAAAGAAATAATGGAAAGTAACACACTAAGGAATTCTGACTTTTTTTTTTTTAATAAACCAGCCATCTCCCACCAAGGTAGGGTAACTCAAAACAGAAGAAACACTTTCACCATCACTCACTACATCACTGTCTTGTCAGAGGAGTGCAGATACTACAGTACACAACTGCAAAAATCCCCACCCCCACCTCCTTCAAAGTGAAGGCACTGTCCTTCCCACCTCCAGGACTCAAGTCCAACTAACTGGTTCCCTAAATACCTTCATAAATGTTACCTTCTTCACATTCCGACAGCACATCAACTCAAAGAAACCACTTGCCTCCACTTACTCCTATCTAACACACTCACACAAGCCTGTTGCTTTTTCAAACCTCTCACATTATCACTTTTATATTATTATTATTGTTGCTGTTTTTATAATTATTATTACTACATATTACTGGTCCTAATGTTGCTAGATATTACACTTTTATTATGGCTCATTTATAAAAATGCATGCACTTCATTTTAGATTACCTCATTGTGACTGAATCAAAATTAGTTATGATATCAGGAATAGTTGTGGTGATATACTTGAGACAATGAGCTTGTACAGTGAGAGTGGAGTCCAAGGTGTGCTTCATCATAGAAGCCATTGCCTCCAGTAACTTTTGTAGACTCTTCTCAAACTCTTCTTGTCCACGTCCATATAATCTGCATGAAGATAAACAGAAGCATCATGTTTCAAGGCATAATTAAGTGTGTGACAAGATACAAATTAATACCGACAAATTTACTACGAGTGCCGTTTTGATCACATAATTTCTTTTTATGTCCAAAGAAAAAGAAATTAGGAATTTCTTTAAAAAGAAAAACCCTGTGCACAGTTATACTAAAATAAAATACATGTATTGATATGAGAATTGTAAGTAATGTACTGGTAAGTAAATTGCACATAAATTTCTTCTTAGATATATTAATAGTACAGACAGGCCACGCTTTAGAGTGTTTTGCTAATACAGTGATTTTTCAATTATACCCCATCTTCATTTATTCAGGATACCTACAATAAACATTCATCACCCACTATAAGCAAAGTACGAAAATATTTTAAGGTAAGTAACGTGTGTATTATACAGTGGACCCCCGGTTAACGATATTTTTTCACTCCAGAAGTATGTTCAGGTGCCAGTACTGACCGAATTTGTTCCCATAAGAAATATTGTGAAGTAGATTAGTCCATTTCAGACCGCCAAACATACACGTACGAACCCACTTACATAAATACACTTACATAATTGGTCGCATTCGGAGGTAATCGTTATGCGGGGGTCCACTGTATATGCATCTTTTAGGCCTAGCTCTATTGCTCACTAATATAAGATAGTGTAAACATGTTATCAGTCTTTTTATGGCGATTTTTGCTTTACAATGGAAGCCGGGAACTTAACCTGATGTATAAGTGAGGCCCTCCCGTAAAAATATCTGACTGTTGCTTCTGCAGTAAGCCTTCAGTATTCACTCACTACTGCTCTCTTAGGAGTGGGCCCTTCATTAATTCCCTTCCCACCCAAATATGGTATCCAGTGAACAAGTCAGATCAGACCTGATTACCTCACATTCTCCAGGCACTTTATGACTGTTGTGGATTTATTGCTACCTTATGAATCAGTAGTAAGACCACTTCAATTCTTGATATAAGCAAATGACCAGTAACTAAGATTTTTTTTTTTTTTTCAACAAGTCGGCCGTCTCCCACCGAGGCAGGGTGACCCAAAAAGAAAATACTTTCGTTATCATTCAACACTTTCACATGATATTTCTTTAGTTTTACAAACAAATTTTGCTGAATAACTTAAACAGTTCTAGGTAGTAGGTTGGTAGACAGCAACCACCCAGGGAGGTAATACAGTCCTGCCAAGTGAGTGTAAAACGAAAGCCTGTAATTGTTTTACATGATGGTAGGATTGCTGGTGTCCATTTTTCTGTCTCATAAACTTGCAAGGTTTCAGGTACATCTTGCTACTTCTATTTACACTTAGGTCACACTACACTTACATGTACAAGCATATATATATACACACCCCTTTGGGTTTTCTTCTATTTTCTTACTGGTTCTTGTTTTTGTTTATTTCCTCTTACCTCCATGGGGAAGTGGAACAGAATTCTTCCTTCGTAAGCCATGCGTGTTGTAAGAGGCGACTAAAATGCCAGGAGCAAGGGGCTAGTAACCCCTTCTCCTGTATATATTACTAAATGTAAAACGAGAACCTTTCGTTTTTTCTTTTGGGCCACCCCGCCTCGGTGGGATACGGCTGTTGTGTTGAAAGAAAGAAAGAACTTATACACTAATATTTTTGTTCGTCTTATTTTTTTTTACACTAAGAAATATAATTCATTAACACATCCAAAAGCATATGATATAAAAGCTGAAGAGTTACCTAAGATTAAAATCAATAAATAAAGAAAATTCTGTATAAGTTATAAAAACTTACTCAACAAAAAGTTGTCTGGAGCGTATGATAAATTTGAAAACATACTGAAGGCACTTCATGGCTTTCTTCAAGGTTTCTTGCAGATCTGTGTTCTGTCCCTCTTCTACATAGTATTTTAGAACATGGATCAATTTGCTGAAAATATATTATATTAGTATTATTTCCTTGTGAAAGTGTGTTCAGTTAATAAATAAATGCATGATCACATATAAAAAATAACACTTAACAACAGAGTTACGTTCCTAAGACTATGTCGGTAGACGAATCCATCGCTAAGTGAGGAGCATACCATAATGGTAGTGGGTTTGTGTCAACCATCTCTTAAATTGTTTTAATGTCACCTTTGCACCATTTTAACATTTCTGGTATATTTTTAAATGTTTACACAGTAATTTACTGTACATTGTAATAATCAAAATAGAGGAAATCAGCTCTAATATACATTATTCAGGTATACATACTGTCAGAGAACCTGCTGTAAGTCTAAGGTGTCAGTAAATGAGTACATTCTAAGTGAGGAGAGACTGTAATTATTCCTCCCATTTTATGGTCAATTTTGAATTGATACTAATACAATGTTCTATAACTTTTAAACTACAGTGTATCCTTGATTTAACACATCTTGATTTAACAGCCTTTGGGAAATATGGGAGAAGTCCACTGGCTTGATTAATTTGGAAACATTGGAAAAAGTCTGATGGTTACAGAAATGCCCATTAGTGCTACAATCACAGTATAACAATCTTGTCCCCATCTACCACACTCTCCATTACCAACAAGTGACTTCTTCCTATTAGCCCATTAAATTGAGGTTTTACTGTAATGAATTTTAAGATATCATTGCCACAGTTCACAAATATATGAGGGTGTGACATTAGGGGATGTGATGGCAAGTTGACCTCTGAAGATTTGATGTGCTTTTGGAAGTGCAAGATAATATTCATAAAGGAATTCTGAGGAATCAGATAGCTGGACTTAGTCTGGAAGTAAAGTACAGTGCATACACTCAGAAGGATGTGTGAAGATACTGCCATACAGAGGAATATGTGATATCCAAGCACTTTTGGCAGGAAAGTTTTTTTTTTTTTAACACATCGGCCATTTCCCACCGAGGCAGGGTGATCCAAAAAGACAGTTATTAAGTAAATCATGGTGACTGTTTTCATCTTTGGGTCACCCTACCTTGGTGGGAAATGATCAATGTGGTAAAAAAAAAGTGAAAATAAATTCAAGTAAAAAAAATTACCATTATAAAGACATTAATGTGATAACACATACAACTTGACTTTACTGTTAAAAAACAAATTAAAAACTAGGTAAATCCTTACTTGTATGCGAGGGTTGCGTGGAAGTTTTGTTGAATATATGTATCTAGAACTGGCTGAAATGCTTCATGTTTGTTTTTGTCTGTAGCAATTGTGATGACATATATCTGGGGTAAAAAAAATAATTTACAGTACAAACAAAATTTTACATTAGAGTTCAAACATTTACAGTCTTAACTGACTTATCATTTAAAGGCCTTTAACTGGGTAATAAACAGCTTCAGCACCCAGTAAGTCTGAAGAAATAAATCCAGTTACATTAAGCATTCACTTAGTTCTTTCTCCCATTATAAGCTTTTTTGTTGTTCTTTTTACTTTTCACAGACACCACAAGTTAATCAATTATTTTTTCCAATACAAAATATTAAAGAGGAACACTGAAAACACCACAACCTAATTAAAAAATTAATAAGAATATATTGAGTGAATGCATGGGGAGTTTTGAATCAAGTGTGAGAGTAATGGTGGTTGGGGATTTCAATGCTAAAGTGGGTAAAAATGTTATGGAGGGAGTAGTAGGTAAATTTGGGGTGCCAGAGGTAAATGTAAATGGGGAGCCTTTAATTGAGCTATGTGTAGAAAGAAATTTGGTAATAAGTAATACACTGTACATATTTTATGAAAAAGAGGATAAATAAATATACAAGGTATGATGTAGCACGTAATGAAAGTAGTTTGTTAGATTATGTATTGGTGGATAAAAGGTTGATGGGTAGGCTCCAGGATGTACATGTTTATAGAGGGGCAACTGATATATCGGATCATTATTTAGTTGTAGCTACAGTTAGAGTAAGAGGTAGACGGGAAAAGAGGAAGGTGGCAACAACAAGTAAGAGGGAGGTGAAAGTGTATAAACTAAGGGAGGAGGAAGTTCGGGTGAGATATAAGCGACTATTGGCAGAAAGGTGGGCTAGTGCAAAGATGAGTAGTGGGGGAGGGGGGGGTTGAAGAGGATTGGAATAGTTTTAAAAATGCAGTATTAGAATGTGGGGCAGAAGTTTTGTGGTTATAGGAGGGTGGGGCAGGAGGAAAGAGGAGTGACTGGTGGAATGATGAAGTAAAGGGTGCGAAAAAAAGAGAAAAGGTAGCTTATGAGAGGTTTTTACAAAGCAAAGTGTTATAAGAAGGCAGAGTATATGGAGAGTAAAAGAAAGGTGAAGAGAGTGGTGAGAGAGTGCAAAAGGAGAGCAGATGATAGAGTGGGAGAGGCACTGTCAAGAAATTTTAATGAAAATAAGAAAAAATTTTGGAGTGAGTTAAACAAGTTAAGAAAGCCTAGGGAAAGTATGGATTTGTCAGTTAAAAACAGAGTAGGGGAATTAGTAGATGGGGAAAGGGAGGTATTAGGTAGATGGTGAGAATATTTTGAGGAACTTTTAAATGTTGAGGAAGAAAGGGAGGCGGTAATTTCATGCACTGGCCAGGGAGGTATACCATCTTTTAGGAGTGAAGAAGAGCAGAATGTAAGTGTGGTGGAGGTACGTGAGGCATTACGTAGAATGAAAGGGGATAAAGCAGCTGGAACTGATGGGATCATGACAGAAATGTTAAAAGCAGGGGGGGATATAGTGTTGGAGTGGTTGGTACTTTTATTTAATAAATGTATGAAAGAGGGGAAGGTACCTAGGGATTGGCGGAGGAGAGCATGTATAGTCCCTTTATATAAAGGGAAAGGGGACAAAAGAGATTGTAAAAATTATAGAGGAATAAGTTTACTGAGTATATAAGGAAAAGTATACGGTAGGGTTATAACTGAAAGAATTAGAGGTAAGACAGAATGTAGGATTGCGGATGAGCAGGGAGGCTTCAGAGTGGATAGGGGATGTGTAGATCAAGTGTTTACATTGAAGCATATATGTGAACAGTATTTAGATAAAGGTAGGGAAGTTTTTATTGCATTTATGGATTTAGAAAAGGCATATGATAGAGTGGATAGAGGAGCAATGTGGCAGATGTTGCAAGTATATGGAATAGGTGGTAAGTTACTAAATGCTGTTAAGAGTTTTTATGAGGATAGTGAGGCTCAGGTTAGGGTGTGTAGAAGAGAGGAAAATACTTCCCGTAAAAGTATGTCTTAGACAGGGATGTGTAATGTCACCATGGTTGTTTAATATATTTATAGATGGGGTTGTAAAAGAAGTAAATGCTAGGGTGTTCGGGAGAGGGGTGGCGTTAAATTATGGGGAATCAAATTCAAAATGGGAATTGACACAGTTACTTTTTGCTGATGATACTGTGATTATGGGAGATTCTAAAGAAAAATTGCAAAGGTTAGTGGATGAGTTTGAGAATGTGTGTAAAGGTAGAAAGTTGAAAGTGAACATAGAAAAGAGTAAGGTGATGAGGGTATCAAATGATTTAGATAAAGAAAAATTGGATATCAAATTGGGGAGGAGGAGTATGGAAGAAGTGAATGTTTTCAGATACTTGGGAGTTGACGTGTCGGCGGATGGATTTATGAAGGATGAGGTTAATCATAGAATATGATGAGGGAAAAAAAGGTGAGTGGTGCGTTGAGGTATATGTGGAGTCAAAAACGTTATCTATGGAGGCAAAGAAGGGAATGTATGAAAGTATAGTAGTACCAACACTCTTATATGGATGTGAAGCTTGGGTGGTAAATGCAGCAGCGAGGAGACGGTTGGAGGCAGAGGAGATATCCTGTCTAAGGGCAATGTGTGGTGTAAATATTATGCAGAAAATTCGGAGTGTGGAAATTAGGAGAAGGTGTGGAGTTAATAAAAGCATTAGTCAGAGGGCAGAAGAGGGGTTGTTGAGGTGGTTTGGTCATTTAGAGAGAATGGATCAAAGTAGAATGACATGGAAAGCATATAAATCTATAGGGCAAGGAAGGAGGGGTAGGGGTCGTCCTCAAAAGGGTTGGAAAGAGGGGGTAAAGGAGGTTTTGTGGGAGAAGGGCTTGGACTTCCAGCAAGCGTGCATGAGCGTGTTAGATAGGAGTGAATGGAGACGAATGATACTTGGGACTTGACGATCTGTTGGAGTGTGAGCAGGGTAATATTTAGTGAAGGGATTCAGGGAAACCGGTTATTTTCATATAGTCAGGCTTGAGTCCTGGAAATGGGAAGTACAATGCCTGCACTTTAAATTAGGGGTTTGGAATATTGGCAGTTTGGAGGGATATGTTGTGTATCTTTATATGTGTATGCTTCTAAACTGTTGTATTCTGAGCACCTCTGCAAAAACAGTGATAATATGTGAGTGTGGTGAAAGTGTTGAATGATGATGAAAGTATTTTCTTTTTGGGGATTTTCTTTCTTTTTTGGGTCACCCTGCCTCGGTGGGAGATGGCCGACTTGTTGAAAAAAAAAAAAAAAAAAATGTGTAAGTCAGTAACAGACACTGTAAAGCAATGATGGTATCAGCAAGCAATTCTTAAGGAAATATTTGCCCATTCTCCTTTAATTCTACCTGATATTTGCTGTTTAGATTGACATCTAAACTGTCATTCCTGTATGCCTCTGCAAAGACAGTAATAGTGTGAATGATGGTGAAAGTTTTTTTTTTTTCTTTTTTGGGTCACCCTGATTTGGTGGGGGATGGCTGGCATGTTCAAAGAAAGATTACAGCATTATCTTTAGTTCTAGTCTCAAACAAATTAAATGAACATGCTCTTATGAAACAGTGCCTCCACTCTGAAGGATGGGTGAGGATACCACAGCTCAGAAGATCATGTGAATTGTGATGTCTCCATACTTCTGGCAAGAGAAGTATTGAATAAATGATAGTGAATGTGTTGCCTTGCTTTTCAGGTCACCTTATTTCAGTGGAAGATTGTAGTGTTAAAAAATAAAAGCTTCCATGGTAAAGGATAATTTTTTTTAACACGTTGGCCGTTTCCCACCGAGGCAGGGTGACCCAAAAAAAAAAGAAAACCCCAAAAAAAGAAATAAAAAAACTTTCATCATCATTCAACACTTTCACCATCACTCATACATAATCACTGTCTTTGCAGAGGCACTCAGATACGACAGTTTAGATGTCCCTCAAGTTTCCTAAGCCTCGTGCTTCATAAATTTCGTCTTTTGTAATGTTTTTTCTTAAAAATACAGTGTGTTGAAGTACATGTGGAGACAAAAAATGTTATCAATGGAGGCAAAGAAAGGAATGTATGAAAGTATAATGGTACCAACACTCATATATGGGTGTGAAGCTTGGATTGTAAATGCTGCAGCGAGGAGGTGGTTGGAGGCAGTGAAGATGTTCCATCTAAGGGCAATGTGTGGTGTAAATATTATGCAGAGAATTCGAAGTGTGGAAATTATGAGAAGGTGTGGAGTTAATAAAAGTATTAGTCAGAGGGCTGAAGAGGGGGGGTTGTTGAGGTGGTTTGCTCATTTAGAGAGAATGGATCAAAGTAGAATGACATGGAGAGCATATACATCTGTAGGGAAAGGAAGGCAGAGTAGGGCTCGTCCTTGAAAGGGTTGGAGGGAGGACGTAAAGGAGGTTTTGTGGGTGAGGGGCCTGGACTTTCAGCAAGTGCGCATGAGCGTGTTAGAGAGGAGTGAATGGAGACGAATGGTTTTCAGGACCTGACGAGCTGTTGCATTGTGAGCAGGGTAATATTTAGTGAAGGGATTCAGGGAAACTGGTTATTTTTATATAGCCGGACTTGAGTTCTGGAAATGGGAAGTACAATGCCTGCACTTTAAAGGAGGGGTTTGGGATATTGGCAGTTTGGTGGGATGTGTAATAGGATGGTATATATATAATTGGGGCCCTGTTTTTGTTTAAATTATTTCAGGTCACTTTTTATATTGTATAAGAACATAAGAAAGAAGGAACACTGCAACAGGCCTACTGACCCATGCGGAGCAGGTCCATTTCACCCCCCCCCCCCCAGATTATCCCAATGACCCACCCCCCGGATTATCCCAATGACCCACCCAGTCTGGTCATCCCCACTCAAGGATGGAGCACTGTACCAGACCCAGCAGCACAAGCTAGTCAGGTCCAACTCACACCCACCCACACCCACTCATGTACTTATCTAACCTATTTTTAAAACTACACAACGTTTTAGCCTCAATAACTGTACTCAGGAGCTTGTTCCACTCATCCACAACTCTATTACCAAACCAGTACTTTCCTATATCATTCCTGAATCTGAATTT